ACCGTTTCTATTTCACATAAAAATGTTTCCCGCACTGAATCTACGTTAATATTTTTTATGTGATCACTTATATGTTGTATACGTGAAAAGAGTACGTCCCTCTTGGCGTAAAGAGTTTTAAGTTTAATTTCATTTCCACTAACTGCCATTTTAAATCACTATAATTATTATTAGATTAATTACAAGTAATCTCACAACACTATTGTCTTATCGTGCCGTATTACGTCGTTAAATTGAACACCTTTGCAACCAAACGAGACAACGCGCGTCGACAGATAAGAATCTAAACTCACACTATTTTTTACAAATGATGGGTAGGCCGAATAAGGCCAAGCGGAACCAAACTATTTTGAATAAATAAGTCGATTTACTTATGCGAGTAACTAATAAATTTTAAATTTAAACTAAACAAAACTACATAATCTATCCAATATAAAATTAGAGTGCATTGTCTAAGGAATTAATCCAGCATTTCGACTCAATGAGGCTACAAAGCACCAGTTCCAGAAATGGTTGGTGAGGCTACAAAGCACCAGTCCAAATCCGCTCGAACGACCAGAAAAATGGATGGGCGGCGGGCCTTAGTGATGCCGAGTCCGGTTCCCCGGTCGAGCCTTGACCCTATTACGCGAGATGTTATACTAGATGGACTGTATACGCGGTAAGCTTCTTCTGCCTCAACAAGATGGCAGAGGTGTCACGCGGTTCCTTGACAATGCACTCGCTCTTCCGAAATCTATTGTTTGCCAAGGTTATGAAGGAAGCAGGATTGCTTAGGAGCACATTAGGAGGAATGAAATGGGGCGGGTTAAGTAACAAACAAATACTCAAGCAGGCATTGAGTTATAGGAAAAAGAAACACAATTACCGGGGTGTGACTTCAATGTGGCTTGGACGCTTCTGTCGCTGCGGTGCGACTTCTGGCGGATCTCCTGGGGCCCCAGGGATGCGGTCCTGGCCGGTGGTGCGATGGAAGAGAGCGGTGCGTGACGATATCTCACACTAGGTGAGGCAGTTACTCCTGGTGCGCGACTGCTCCAGGTTGGTGCGGTTTGAAAGAGTGACGCATGGGCAAGAGCCCTCTAGGACGCGACTGTCCCAGGCGGTGTGCTTCCAACTAGCGACGCAAAGGCAAGAGAAGTAATATGAGCTCGCGCACGACTTCGGCCCTCCTATCAATGCATCTCGGTCGGGCGCTCTTCTCATTGGGTGCAAGTATCACGCAACATTCTAGAATCTCTTCTTTCCCCTCTCACCCCTCCTCAGTGTGTACGGAAGGGATAGGTCGAAGAAAGGACACTTGGCACAATATACCCTCGAATAAAATTAAATACACTAATCGTTTTCCGCGCAACCATATAATTTTTTCACTTGTCCATCCCTATGACTGAGTAAGGGCGTAAAATCAGGGTAGTGTAATAACTGACGTCCCTAACTAGGGGCCACGCCCACCCTTCATTTAGGGCCCTGATTCAGGGTGGTGTACTAGGGGCATAACGCCTAAATTTTTAATAGCGTTTAATGTTTCTAGGGTTGTGTCGTGAAGACGCTTTATATGATTTAATGACGTATGTTGCATTACGGGGATATTTAGTAAGATATGCGAGTGGAAAATTAAGCGTTTATTATTATATCTGTTGTTAAGTATGTCCCAACAGATTGGATAATTATCAGATGATATTGGTAGATGTCTCTCCGCTTCACCTCTAACTTTAGTTTTAAAGCATTGCATCCTTTGTGCGTTAGATAATGAATAGTTTCCGTGATAGGTCTTTGAAGGAACTCCACTGATGGTAGCTACCACTAAATGTAGATATCTCTACGTGAGGGGTCGATTGCTCTCAATATGATACAGACCACAATTTACGATTAATGGATTTGATAATCTCGTTGTATTTTCTTTCGTGTGTGAAAAATGATAACTCATAATCTGGGTTCCCACACCCAAGCTCACTGTCTAACTCCCAATGCATATTATCAATTACAGACCAACGCTTGTATAGCACGTAATAAATGATCGAATTCCCACTTTTCTGATATCGAACCTAAGTTGATATTGGATACTGTGTGTGTTCGAATGCCTTAAAATTACTAGTTTGCTTGCGTAACATTTCGTCCGTCTTGCTATTAGTCCCCTGAGACTGGGACAGGGTAACCTGCGGTGACGGCTGCCGAGATGGTCAGTGAGTCATGGAGTTTCAACACTGGAGTTGCAGGCCTGTCATCCCTAACCTGATATGTATCGATTGCTGTTCTAATTTTCTCGTATTTATTTCTAAACGATTCAAATTGGTTAATCGTAAAATAGGAACGAGACTTCGCATACTCTATTCCACTTAATATACCATGATTAGGTTGAAATTCTGCCCAGTATTAGTCTAGAGGATCTAACCTACGTTTGATATAATCTGCCGTCTTTCGATCAGCACTATCCTTTTTAAAATTGGTAAAAGTCTGAGCTATGGCTCCAAACAATTGTTGTTGATTTGCTGCAATGATAAATCATTGGAGCGACCAGAGGTATGTGGAGCGGGCTCAGCACCAGATCAGACCGACACTGTCGCATTCTGGTGTGGCCTGTGGTCGGAGCCCATAAACCACAGCGAGGGCCCTTGAATGAAAGTTGTGGCGAGCCAGGGTGCGAGTGTTACGCCTATGAACCCCATCATTATAACGCCGGAAGACGTGGCTGAGGCAGCCCGTATGGACCTGAACTGGAAAAGTCCGGGGCTAGATGGGCTGCATCATTACTGGCTGAAAGGGTTCGTAGTGTGTCACACTGTGCTCACCCGAAAATTTCAAGAGGCTCTCCACCAGAAGTCCCTCCCGAGCCTCTTTACTACTGGGATCACTCACTTGCTTCCTAAAGACCAGGATACCACAGACCCGAGCAAATACCGCCCATCACGTGACTACCCACCGTGTATAAGATACTGACACCCAATTCAAATTGGGTGTCAGTATCTTATATACTTATATACGCTCAAGCGTGAGAATCACTCGTCACCTGGAGTTAAATCAGATGTCATGCGTTCAAAATGGATCTCGGGCGGTGATCGTGGAACCAAGGAACCACTCCTCATTGACGCGGTTATTGGCAAAGTGGTGAAACGCTACCATCGGAACTTCTCCGCCGCCTGGATGGACTACAGAAAGGCATTCGACTCGGTTCCCCATACATGGCTAAAGAGGGTCCTCGAGCTGTACAAAATTGATTGTACAGTTAGAAACTTCCTTGGGTAGTGTATGGGGCAGTGGAGTACGATCCTTTGTCATCTGGGCGAGCGGATGACGGCTACGGAAAGCCGCATAAGGATAAGAAGGGGTATCTTCCAGGGCGACTTTCTGAGTCCAATCTGGTTCTGCCTCTCTTTGAACCCTCTTAGTACTTTACTGGAGGGCTCCGGGAGGGGATTTCAGCTTCGGAAGGGAGATTCAAAAGTGACGCACCTTTTCTATATGGATGACCTCAAGTTATTTGCCTCCAGTCGCTCCCATCTTATGAAATTGCTAAACATCACTTGTGAATTTAGCAATTCTATTGCAATGGAGCTGGGGACGGATAAGTGTGCGGTCCTCCATATTGAGAGGGGAAGGGTTGCTAACTCTGAGGGCATAGACTTTTGTATGCCCGTCAACTTAAGGACCCTTTCCGAGGCTGAAACATACCGATACCTGGGTATGTCACAGAACGTCGGTATTGATGTGGCTGGTATGAAACAGTCGGTTTGCGACAGCTTACCAAAGTGCTGTTTTCCTTGTTTTGTCCGGTGTGAATAAGACACACGCATATAACGGTTGGGTCATGCCTATCCTCATGTATACCTTTGGCATACTCTGGTGGACTTAGACTGAACTTAACTACTACTATCACGTCCCATAGGATGCATCATCCGAGATCGTCAGTAATGAGGCTTTACTTGCCGCGAAAGAATGGTGGGCGTGGCTTTTTGAGCGCGTTCACCATGCATAATCGCGAAGTGTGCAGCCTCCGTCATTACTTTCTATTGAGATCGGATGATCCATTCTATAATGACGTCATTTCTAGTGATAAAGGGCTTACCCCTCTATCCGTAGCCAACGAGCAATGGCAGGACCCAGAAGTACAAAGCATTTCCGACCGTGAGACCGTATGGAAGGAGTAGGAACTCCACGCGCGATACAATAGGTCTCTACATGAGCCCTTCGTAGATACAGTCGCCTCCCTCAACTGGTTACGTTTCGGCGACCTCTTCGGGGAAACCGAGGGTTTTGTCTGTGTAATACAGGATCAGGTTATTAAGACCAATAACTATCGGATACATCCTAAAGTATGGCACCATCGACGTCTGTCGAGCTTGTCGCCATCCCGGTGAGTCGCTTAGTATGTCATGTTCGGTTGTTCGGTGCTCTTTAACTCTGAGTACTTCCACAAGCACAACCTACTAGCCAGAATTCTACACCAGGAGCTCGCTCTGAAACACAGTCTCGTGGACCGGAAATTGCCGTATTATAAGTACTTGCCGGAAGCCGTGCTCTAAAATGATTGCGCCAGGCTCTACTGGGGCCGGGCCATCATCACAGACATAATAATAATAATTAGGTGTAGGGAAGTGACGACCCCATCGCCCGCTGACGTAACAGTTATGTGACATAACTGCTACGTCGGCGCAGTCAGTCAGCGCCCTGCCAAGAGGTGTGAGCGCCATCCCTAGGCAACGAGAAACGAAACGGTGCCGGGCTTGGGCGTCTCCCGTTATTTGGCGTCCATAAAATGGGTGATGGCACATAGAGGAGCGCGCATAGGGCCGCTGTCTGGGGGCCGCCGGGGCGCGTCTGGAACTGGCACTGGACGCGGCAGCATTCGGGCCGCCAGCCAAGCGTGAGGAGCTGCACGGTCACCTAGTCGCCCTCCGCATCCATTATCCCCACCGGAAGGCTTGGTTTCGGCTGGGTCTTCTCGGACTCAGCAAGCAGCACCCGCCGCTGGTGGAGCACGTTGCATGCATTGGTCACAAACAATGAACGCAAACGCACTGCGGGCGTACTTTAGGCCAAAAGGGGAAGAAACTGGGTGTTTGACATATCGGGCTCGGATGCATCGCTTTTTTGCAGAGCTGGAGCCATCTCTATCCGTCACTGAGCAAAACCTGGCAGACCGAGTTCGGTACATCCTGCACTCCAACATATTTGGTGACGCCGAACTCGAACGACTACGATGTGAGGCCGTTCCCTCGTCGGATGGAAATGATACGGCTGGGAATGCGGCGCCACTAATTGCGCAGCAAAATACACATGTGGATGCTGCCGTCAATATTCCATTTGTAGTTGATTCAGACGATGATGGAATAGTCCCCCACGAACTAGAGAAAATGAGGAGCATATTGAAAGAGTCGATGCTGGAAACGCGCAGCATGCCTCTCGTAAATCGATCGCGACTACCCCGCATACCCCTTAGCAAGCGAAATCGTGCTGTCGTGTGGGCTCTTAACCCAATGCTGGTGACCTATTTGGAAGCCAGCCGGGACATTTGCGGGACGGACTCAATTCTTTTAGGCGCCGTACTGGCAGTATGCCATATTATTGGCGCCAAGCTTCCCATGGCTGGACGTGCTACTCGACAAAGTAGCGCCATCCCAGCCTGGAAAAAGAGAATTGAGGACCGTATCACAAAGGCAAGGGCCCTTATCGGCAGACTGACAAGCTTCAGGTCAGGAAATAATAGACTGAGAGTTGTGCGCACCGTTAGAATGGCATTTGCTGGGACAAATATTAGTTTGTCCCAGCCGGATATTACGCAGAAACTAACGGAGCGCATAGATGACCTGAAGCAAAAAAGCGCTGCTTGGGGGAAGCGGATTCGACGATTTAGCGAGGGGTCAAGGCGGTTCAACCAGAATTGTCTCTTTCAGAGTGATCAAAAAAGGCTCTATAAATCATTGGAGCGACTAGAGGTATGTGGAGCGGGCCCAGGACCGGATCAAGCTGACGACATTGTCGCATTTTGGCGTGGCCTGTGGTCAGAGCTCGTAAACCACAACGAAGACCCTTGGATGGAAGTTGCGGCGAGCCAGAGTGCGAGTGTTACGCCTATGGACCCCGTCACCATAACGCCAGAAGACGTGGCTGAGGCAGTCCGTAGGGCCCCGAACTGGAAAAGTCCGGGGCTCGACGGGCTGCAACATTACTGGCTGAAGGGGTTCGTAACGTGTCACGCTGTGCTCGCCCGACAGTTCCAAGAGGCTCTCAACCAGAAGTCGCTCCCGAGCCTCTTCACTACTGGGATCACTCATTTGGTTCCTAAAGATCAGGATATAAAAGATCCGAGCAAATACCGTCCCATCACGTGTCTATCCACCATATATAGGACACTGACATCCATTCTGAGCGCGAGAATCACTCGTCACCTGGAGCTAAATCAGGTGATGTCACGCGCTCAAAATGAATGTCGGGGCGGTGGTCGTGGAACCAAGAAACCACTCCTCATTGACGCGGTCATTGGCAAAGTGGTGAAACGCAACCGTCGGAACTTCTCCGCCGCCTGGATAGACTACAGAAAGGCATTCGACTAGGTGCCCCATACATACCTAAAGAGGGTCCTCGAGCTGTATAAGATTGACTGTACAGTTAGAGACTTGCTCGAGCAGTGTATGGGGCAGTGGAGTACGATCCTCTGTTATCTGGGCGAGCGGATGATGGCTGCGGAGAACCACATAAGGATAAGAAGCAGTATCTTCCAGGGCGATTGCCTGAGTCCAATCTGGTTCTGCCGCTTCTGCCTCTCTCTGAACCCTCTCAGTACCTTACTGGAGGGCTCCGGGAGAGGATTTCAAGCTACAGAAGGGAGGTACAAAAGTGACCCACCTTTTCTATATGGATGACCTCAAGTTATTCGCCCCCAGTCGCTCCCATCTTATGGAATTGCTAAACATCACTTGTGAATTTAGCAATTCTATTGGAAAGGAGCTGTGGACGGATAAGTGTGCGGTCCTTCATGTTGCAAGGGGAAGGCTTGCTAACTCTGAGAACATAGATTTATCCATGCCCGTCAACTTAAGGACCGGATTTTGTCCGGTGTGAATAAGACACACGCATATAACGGTTGGGTCGTGTCTGTCCTCATGTATAACTTTGGCATACTCGGGTGGACTCAGACTGAACTTAACGCTCTGGATAGAAAAGTCCGTACTACCATGACGTCTCATAGGATGCATCATCCGAGATCGTCGGTAATGAGGCTGTACATGCCGCGAAAGAATGGTGGGCGTGGTTTTCTGAGCGCTCACCTTGCATAATCGAGAAGTGTGCAGCCTCCGTCATTACTATCTGGCGAGATCGCATGATCCATTCTATAATGACGTCATTTCTAGTGATAAAGGGCTTACCCCTCTATCCTTATCCAACGAGCAATGGCAGGACCTAGCAGTGCTTAGCATTTCCGACCGGGAGACTGTATGGAAGGAGAAGGAGCTCCACGTACACGTACTCCACGTAGTATTACAGGGATCTTCATGAGCCCTTCGTATATACAGTCACCTCCCTCAACTGGCTACGTTTCGGTGACCATTTCGGGGAAACCGAGGGTTTTGTCTGTGCAATACAGGATCAGGTTATTAAGACCAACAACTATCGGAGATACATCCTAAAGGATGGCACCGTCGACGACTGTCGAGCTTGTCGCCATCCCGGTGAGTCGCTTAGGCATGTCATCTCCGGTTGTTCGGCGCTTTCTAACTCTGAGTACTTGCACAGGCACAACCTAGTAGCCAGAATTCTACACCAGGAGCTCGCTCTGAAATACGATCTCATGGACCGGAAATTGCTGTATTACAAGTACTTGCCGGAAGCCCTGCTCGAAAATGACCGCGCCAGGCTCTACTGGGACCGGGTCATCATCATAGACAGGACTATTCTTGCGAATAAGCCTGATATTGTGCTGTTGGATCGGGCACAGTCAAGGATATTTTTAGTCGATATTACCATCCCGTATGACGAGAACCTCGTGAAAGCCGAAACGGATAAGCAATCAAAATATCTGGACCTGGCTCACGAGGTGACCGACATGTGGGGTGGTCTGCCGACCGAAATTATTCCTTTAGTCGTTTCTGCAAACGGGCTAATCCCAGTCAGCCTCTCGGGTCATCTGAGGCGGCTGGGACTCCGTGACGGACCGCTCCAGGCTCAAATGCAGAAGGTGGTGTTCCTCGATACCTCTCACATCGTCCGCCGATTTCTTTCCCTTTCCCCCTAACCCTCGGCCGTTTGGTCTCCCCTGCCGAAGGCCTCCATCTGGTTGGGTTATTATTTATTTATGTATTGTTTATTTATTTATGTTAGTATATGTAATATATATATTTATGTATATTTATCATTTCCTTTTATATATTTATTCCGCCCAACTAGATTATAATACACTACTAATACACCGAAATAATAATAAATAATAATAATTTCGTTATTTTCTTTTTTTTCTTTGAACGATATTATAAACATTTCAAACTAACGCACAACAGCCCACTTTTATTGAGACAACTTAGCGATCGCAGCGTCTCACTTATTTTGTTCATATTTCTGGGAAACTATGTTCTACAGAGATTGTTCTCTTGTGTTCTTTAACCCCCACGCACGTAGCGATCGTTCTCCTTCTCTCTAACCTCCATGGTATTATCCATAGAGTATCGGTACGGTGCTATCTAATGTCGCCTCTACACGTTGGCCAACACAGTGGCAAATGGAGTGGCGAATATATTGGCCGAGAGTTGGTCACGGCGTCCACACGTTGGAAGGTCGTTCAGTTTACTTCGGTTCGGGCCAATGTGCGGACGAGTTTATAAGCACCGTGGCGCAGTAGAAGAGACGAGAAAAGTATTTGTATGAATAAGTTTTTTGGGTAAATATTGATATTAATGGGGTGTTAGAGATAGTAGTTTTTATTCTTTACATGCATCATAAACTGGAATAAATACCATTAATAAGAACTTAAGTTATTTTAAAGTTAAAGGAGTTATAATCGATTAGTCTATGTTTTAAAATTGTGTTTTGATTTTAATTTTTAGCAAAAAATGTACTTGCATTTCTATCAGACATTTGATGTATATAAAAAACACCTTATAATTTATTTGGTAATTTAATTATTTTTTGAGAAAGACAAAAACAATAGCAATAATTATAATTAACACTGACTTAATAATAGGTACTAATTATAACTTAGAACATAAATGAAAAACTCATGACAAGGAAAGTGGCTCAGGACCATGCTTTGCGGCAGTCTGTGGAGGAGGATGTTCAGTAGTGGACTTGTGAACAGCTGTAACGATGATGATGATGATTCGAAATCTTGCACGATTAAATTATAAGAAATCGACGTTTTTTTATAGGATAGGGTGTGACAAACGAGCACACAGTTCACCTGATGTAAGTGGTTACTGTGGCCCACAGACATCTACATCTATCCTCGATTACGAATCAAAATGCAGATGCGTTGTCACCCGTGGGGTCTAAGATGAAATGCCTCGTTTCCTTTAAAAAGGGTCTCTGGTTCTCTAGACTCACTATACGAAACACAGCATCATTAAGCTACTACTTTACGCCGATATTCTGTGAGAGCGTGGTCCTTCCCCGGTCGAGCCGACCTTCGTGCTGCAACTATACTTCTAATATAATTGCATGGTTCTACCACGTATAAACGACGTGCTTCATTTTTTTTTTCATTTTAAAATTGTTCTTGTAATAATCTGATTGTGAAAAAACGTTAATTTTTTTAATAAGTAGCTTATTGATTAAAACAAATGTTCAATAATAATTAAATCGCCCTAATTAAAGTAGTAGGAATGTTTAAAGTGGAAATTGGCACTAAAAGGCTGGTAATTGGGGCATCCACCCTACAAATCTTGAATATAAAATTTAAATCAGATGCGTGTAATCACTCTGGGAGCTTGTAGCAAACTAAACGCGCGGCCAACGTGTGGACGCGGCGACCAAACTCTGCCAACAATCCTTTGATCTTTTGTAAAAAACCGACACCACACGGATCTCGCGCCAACTTGCGGGCCATCGTTCTAATACATACCAATGAAGCCCAAACACCCCGTCTACACATTGGCCAATGCTATTGGCCACTACATTCGCCACTGTGTTGGCCAACGTGTAGAGGCACCGTAAGATCTATGGTTCAGTTCAGTATCATAGATAAATAAATATGTAGCAAGCTAGCAGTGTTGCCGTTTTAGCGACTTTCTCGCTAGATCTAGCGGATTTTAACAATGTTTAGCGGATAAAAAAATCGTTTTAGCGAGAAATAATTATTTAGCGACTTCTAGCGACATTTGGACTTTTGAGATGGCGACTTTTTTATGAAGTAATTCATTTCAGATAAGTAATTTATCATATGTCCAATTTTGTAATCTACTGTTGGTAGCACTCTATATATAATATAATTTCACGGGAATTCCCGAACATAAACTAACAATGCAATGTCGTTAATTCACTTTCTCTGTTTCGACCTGAGACCATGTTCTAAGGTTTCGACATACAAAAATGCAGCAGGAGTAAACATATTCGAAGATTTATGTAATTTTGCAATAGTAATATTATCACTACCGCACTCAAATGCAGAATTTGAACGCGTATTTGGTGCTATGAATGTAGTTAAAAGCAAACTGTGAAACAAGCAATCAGAAAAACCTTTAAATTCCATCCGTCTAATTATAAATCAGTAAAAGATTAAAAAACGTATGATATTCCCGAAGATCTTGTCAACCAAGTCGGTAAAGGTAAACCAAAGATGGGAACTGGAGACATTGGCGAAGCTTCAAATTCCGCTGAAGTTCTTTTTGAAGATCTGGATCCATACTTCGCTATTAATTTTGAAATTTAGGTACAAGAACGTACTGAGCTAATTTTTTTATTTTTAATAAGATGACTAATGTTTAAATGTGGTTTAAAGAGATTTATTTTTTTTACAATATTTTTTATTTTGTACATGAATAATTATTGTTTTGGTTGTCATGTCATTAACCTACACTATATATAATTAATTTATATGAAATAGAGTCCGCTCTTTTTAAAGTTTTCTGAATTTATAGATTTAGATTTTCGGTATTCTTTGTATACCATTTGGCAAGATTTTTCAGTTAGACCAACGGTACCACGAAAATGTACCTAGGGACTTCTAGCGGATTTTAAGAAAAAGAAAAATCCTGTTTCTGGCGGATTTTTTCTGTTAGTCTAGGGACTTTAAAATTTGTAGAACGGCAACCCTACAAGCTAGCAAGCTATTCAGTATTTTTCTGTCTGTCTTGTTGTTTGGTTGTGTTTTATGATTTTATTTTTATTTTAAGTAATTTTTGAGTGAACGTTGTGTTTTTTGTGTTCATTAAATGTAATTTAAGTGCCGCAAGAACCTAAAAAATGCCGGTGTTTCATACGAAAATTATAGAGAGCATTTTAGAGCCGGTAGCTCAACAGGTGAGTTTGCGAATTTACAATATTATTTTATAAAGGCCGTATTGTATTGCGGTAGGTATTCAGTTAGGTGTCAGATTTTCGCTTTTTGTTTACATTTGTTTGCTATGTCGTTTTATCGGCGAATTATGTCATCAATGAGGTGGTACATGATACTTAGTGAAAAAAGGTATACGAGCTACATATATGGTTATGATTAGTTTGATTTCGTAAGTCAGTAGATTATCTGTCGTCAAAAATTTTAGTTGTGTGTGGTCACTCACATCGTATACCTTTATGTGTCCTTAATTAAATATGTGATTTCTATCTCCTATATTCAGTTAATAAAGCTTTACAACAAATGCATTATCTTGTTACTTTTCCTCTTTAAAGACACGAAAGTTATTTCAGTTGGCTGACTCATTTACGACTTTTTGATTAGTGGTTCATAAGACAAGTTGGTATTACGTATGTACACTTCTTGTAAATTAATTAAGTTGAACTTAGCTACAGTGATAAACGTATTTTTCAAACAAAACTGTCTTCCATATTTTATAATTCTTATAAGTTTTAACTTTAGAGAATTCAAACTTTTTTTATTTATAAAAATACACATTTATTTTATTGCTAATTATTTAACAAAATTTTATTGTTTGAAGACTTTTTGTTCTTTACTATTGTTATGTTCGCATTAATAAATAATTAAAAGTATATCCAGGCTGCAAGTTAATTTGTTAAACATGTTGAAGACCATGCTGCATCTACATTATGGCTGTGTAATGAATGGAGCGACTTGACCGTGGCATGATCATGCTTACATAGAGTTACGAAATACACCTCAGTACACTGGCAAATGCAAATGACATCAATTGACACTATATTGTACTGGCGTGCCGCCGTCATATTGCGTCGGATATCCGGCCACAATAAAACAATTTTAAATTGTGTGTGCACTGAATGAAGCATGCCAAAATTTGTTTTTATTTATTCAAATACAAAAAATTATAGAATAATTGCTGGTATCTTCATTAGGAAGATATAATTACTTTTGGAGCACAAAAATACATAATAATCGCCAACACCATTCCAATATGGCGTAAATGTATGACGTCATATACTGTCCTATGTTTTGGAACAAGTCACCAGTATAGCGTCGTTTCATGACATCATTCTCATTCAACAGTGTACTGGGTTGTATTTCGGAACATACCCAGAATACTAGCATATACAGTAGCATAATGTTGCTGTTTCTTATGCTGAGTGTGGAGAACCGGAGCACTTTTAGTTCTCAGTGGTGACAGCGCATCTGCATTTTGATATTTAATTGAGTATAAACATAAAAATGTCTGTGGGCCACAGCATCCACTTACTATTAAGTAGACTGTGCACTAGTTATTGAATAAAACTATTTATATGAATTTTTATTTATTTATGCTTTATTTGCACCGAGTACAAAAAGGCGGACTTAATGCAACAAGGCATTCTGTGCCAGTCTACCTCCAGGCTAAGCAGAGAAGATACTGTGGGTGCAAAGTGTAACTGAGTTAAAATATCTTTAAGTAGTCATATACATTACATATTGCATTTTAATTATACACATATAATATAATATAGATACACATACAAAATATATATATATATATATTAAAATTGTTGTTTAATTTATGCTGGGATCTGAAGCGGGTACCGATAGACTGGGGCAAAGCCGTGATAGTCCCAGTATATAAAGGAAGAGGGTCGCAGCAGGACTGTAAAAACTACCGTGGCATCAGCCTTCTTAGCATTGTGGGAAAACTGTATGCTAAGGTACTGATTGAAAGGGTCATGAAAGAAACTGATGGAAAAATTTTGGATGTGCAAGCGGGATTTAGAAAGGGAATGGGATGTACAGATCAAGTCTTTTCCATGCGCATGATCGCGGAGAAGTTTCTGACCAAAAACCAAAAGGTTTTTTGTGCGTTCATGGACTTGGAAAAGGCCAATGTCAGAGTGGATAGGGATTTGCTATGGCAAACACTGAACTCATTTGGGTTGAGCGCTGGCTTGATACAGGCATTGGAGTCTCTTTATAGGGACTCTAGTGCTTGTGTTAGGATCAACGAGGTCTACTCGGACTGGTTTGACATCCATAAAGGTGTCAGACAGGGCTGTGTGGCTTCCCCGTGGCTGTTCTACCTATTTATGGACAGTTGTTTGCAAAATTTGAAAGTTGAAGAATGCGGATTAAGAATGGGTGAGTTAACCGTCAAATGCCTTTTTTACGCTGATGATCAAGTTATTCTTGCGTCGTCGGCGGCCGAGTTGCAAATGATGGTTACATTAATAAACGGATCATTAAAGAAAGGGGTATGAAAGTGAACGCAAGTAAGACGAAGGTTATGGTTTTTGAAAGAGAAGAAAGTAAAACGATTTGTGAAATAAGAATAGAAGGGGGAGTTGATCGAGCAAGTAGATGAGTTTGTATATTTGGGCTGCGTATTTAGCAGGGATGGGAGATATGATAAGGATGTAGAACGACGAGTAAATGTGGGAAATAGAGTAAATGGGGCCTTGCATTCTATTGTGAAGAGTCAAAATGTGTCGAAAAAGGCACGTATGGCAATTCACAATGCTGTGTTGGTCCCTACTTTAACGTATGGTAGTGAAAGTTGGGTGTGGCAGAAGTAGCACGAGAGTAGAATAAACACAGTAGAAATGCGGTTGTTAAGGAGTATGTTAGGGCTGAATCTGAATGACAGGGTAAGAAATTGTGTAATAAGAGAAGAATGTGGTTTGCAAGATGATGTTGTGACCAGGATTAAGTAAGGAATGCTTCAGTGGTTTGGTCATGTGGAAAGAATGAATGAGGAAAGAGTGACAAAGAAAATTTATGGTGCAGAAGTGAATGGCAGAGTCGGAAAGGGACGTCCTAGGCGAAAATTTATCGACCAAATTGGCGATTTATTGAAAACGGGCCAAATTAGGAGTACCCTTAACCGACGAGCATGTATGCGTAGGTGTATGGATGTGAAGGAGGCAAGAGAGGTGTGTCAGGATCGTGCCAAATGGAAGTCTGTAGTCTCTGTCTACCCCTCTGGGTGACAGGCGTGAGTGTTTATGTTTTATGTAATGTTATATATATATATATATATATATATATATATATATATATATATATATATATATATATATATATATATATATTGTTTAATGCTGCCCTAATATGAATTTCATTGTGTTTAATTATATTTTTATTGTTTTTGTAATTAAACATGATGAAATCTGTTGGATGGATGGATAGTTTTATTCAAAGTGTAGTGTTCACATAAATATAGGAAATGATTATGTGCACTAATTTCTCATCATTAAATAAAATATTGTAGAATAGATTTGATCTGCTTTAGTCACCTTGTTGCCAAATGACCAAACTAGGCAACTGAGAGAGACAAAATCATCATCATATATTTCACCATTTCCTTCTCCAAAACTGAACTCTTTTTAATTGCTTTTTTAAGAACAATTTAAGTAGGATGTGTTGTGCTTGGCTGTGTCTGCGTATTTGCCTTTTTTATGTTCATTAAATTTGTTTGCTTGATGTCTGAACAGTTTTAGTAAATTTGTAATTTCTTTATTTACCTATTAGCCATTCGTATGTTATCATTTTACACAAAAATCAATAGTACTGTAATTGCATTGTTATCTCAAATTTCTGAGAGTAAAAATTTTTGGCTTCGATCAAAACTTCAGGTTACATCACATGCAACATGCAAGTGAAGTTTGCAATTTGAGATGCACATTTTTTACTTGTTATTGCTGTTTATTAGATAGTATCCAATGAGTCAGGTTGACATGAAAGGAAGGTTTCTGTCAAAAAAGGCATTACAGTGCATGCTGGGCAAAGCTAAGTTAATAACAAACAATTTGTAACACACTATTTAACTTCCTCAGGGGTTGAATTTTCCAAAATCTTTCCTTATGATTTATGTGGAAAAATGAGTATATATACCAAATTTCTAGTCAATCAGGCTTATAATTTTGGATATCATGTGATGAGCGAAAAAATCTGTGGTATTTCACTTGTATAAATATTATTATTTTAACAACATTACGGCATAAAAAATTTGCAACAATTTACAAATTTCTTATGGTTATGCTTCGATTAGAAATAAATCTCTGGCGAGAAACAATGGTCAGCTGTTTGCAAATGAATTCATTTGATGCACAATGAACAATATGTTGTTTGCCTGCAAAGATGAAGTTAATTGACAGCAAATTAAGTAGTTGTGGTTTTTCAGAATTTGGTTATAGATGTAATTATAAACTAAAGATGGGATGAATATTTCTTTCATATTCGGTATTGGGCATATTCGGCAGCTTTACTGAATATTCATATTCGGCTAAATTACTAAATATTGGAAAAGTAGTACTCGGAAGTGTCCACTGTATCGAAATGTTCGAATTGAGTAATGTCTTACATAATTTTACTGTTGATGGTATATTTTATTTATGGGTTAAAACTTGTATAGCCTTATTTTTGGGGCACTGTAGATTTATTTCGAATTATAGCAAATTGAAAGCTTGATTAAATGTTTTTGGAATCAAACAAAGAAACATTACATTACATTTCAATTTACATGGTCCTCTGTTTCTCTAAAGTAAATCCAAATAGTAGATCTCCTGCCATTCATTTTTATCATATACTTATCAATTTTCACTAAGAATAACACAAAAAAATACTTTTTTTGTCATAAAAATTGTTCAAAACGTAAGCATGTGCCTGCAATTTGCTCAGTACTAGATGATGCAATACCATCTCAGATGAGGGGGAGGGAGCGAGGGGCAGGGTCCGGCGCTAATCCCGAGCGCTTTACCGTAATAAGTTTCAACATTAATTGGTGAGGTGATCCTGCCGAATATTGGGTTTGGTAAAAGTTTAACCGAACTTTCGGCCGAATATTTGTATTCAGTGAAATTCATATTCAGTCCATCTCTACTATTAACATGACTTAAATAGCTGCACCTCTTTTTTTTTCCACTTCTCGTTG